GGATGGTACGCTGTTGTACGCGTCTTCTGTATTCCCATAGTTTGAAGAAGTTTGAGGAATAGGTTGCTTTCGAAATTCCTTCCTTGATCCGTTGTGATGGTTTTAGGTGATCCGAAACGAGTAATCCAATTTTCATAAATTATCTTCGCGACGGATTCGGCTGAAGTATCATCGGTAGGTATTGCTTCTGGCCATCTTGTTGTTCTGTCGATCATTGTTACGAGATAACGATGTCCTTGCGGTGAAGTAGGTAATGGTCCAACGATGTCAACGTGCAAGTGTTCGAATCTCTCCGTGGGTGGAAATGTAGCTAGACTACTTGATGTATGCCTTTGTACTTTGCATTTTTGGCATTGAATGCATTGCTTCGCCCAGTTGCCAACATCCGCTTGCATTGCAGGCCAAAAGAATTTTTCAGTGATGAGTTTTCTTGTTGTTCTAACACCTGGATGACTAATGTTGTGCAGTATATTGAAAACTTCGCGACGACATTCTTCTGGTATGTATGGTCGCATGGTTGTCGTTGAGGCTTCACAGTATATAGGTAGATGCGTCATTGGCATTGTAACTTGCTTGATGGACAAGTTACCTTGCTTCGATAGATGTTTTATGTTGTCACTATCTCTGTCTTGTGCTGCGGCGATCTTATGATAGTCGATTGATGTAGGGCACGTTACACTGTCGATTGGTACGCGACTGAGTGCGTCGGCAACTATGTTGTCCTTTCCACTGATGTGACGTATGTCGGTCGTGAATTCACTTATGAAAATAAGTTGTCTTGCTCTTCGTGGTGTTTCCGATAGTGATGGTTTCTTTGGAAGTACATATGTTAATGGTTTGTGGTCGGTAAAAACGATCAGGTTTCGACTCTCGAACGTTTTTTCTGAAGTGCTTGATAGCCATGTAAATAGCGAGTAGCTCTCGGTCGAATGTACTGTAGTTACGTTGAGTATCGGAGAACTTCTTCGAAAAATATCCAAGTGGTTGCCATTTCCCATTGCTGTATTGTTGGAGAACTGCTCCTGCTGAGAGATCGGATGCGTCGCTGAAGATAGCAAGGGTTGCTTCGTGTGATGGGTGAGCGAGTAAAGCTGCATTTTGGATCGCAATTTTACAAGCTTCAAATGCCTTCGTGGCTTCATCGTTCCATTCGATTGACGTTTTATCTTTTTTCTTCGTGTTGTGAAGGTAGGCGTGAAGTGGTGCTTGGATTTCAGCGGCTTTAGGTATGTGTTCTCTGTAAAAATTTATCATCCCGAGAAAACGCCTTAGCTCTTCGATAGTTTTAGGTTTTGCATAATCGATGATTGCTCTGACTTTTTCGGCAGGCGGTTTTATTCCTTCCTTGCTGACGGTGAAACCAAGAAATTGAACTTCTTGCTGTCCAAATATGCATTTCGAAGGGTTGATTGTGATTCCGTTGTCTTCTAATCGCTGTAGCACGGTGCGTAGATGGGTTTCGTGCGTTTCTTTATCAGGGCTTGCAACAAGGAGATCATCAATAAATGCGAAAACGAAATCCAGTCCATGAAGTACTTCGTGTATGAATCTTTGGAAAGTTTGACCTCCGTTCTTTAATCCTGGGATCATTCTTGGGAATTCGAATAATCCCATTGGGGTAATTATTGCTGTCTTCTCTATGTCTTCATCGCGGACTCTTATTTGTTGGTAAGCTCGGTTGAGATCGATGGTGGAGAATATAGTCTTGTCTGATAGTTGATGAGTGAAATCCCTGACTCGCGGTATTGGGTAGCGGTCAGGAGTGGTAATAGAATTCAGTCATCTGTAATCTCCCCAAACTCGTAATTCTCCGTTCTTCTTCGGTACAATGTGAAGTGGTGATGACCAAGGGCTTTTGCTTGGACGGCATATTCCTTGCTCAATCATGTTTTCGAATTCCTTTCGAACTTGCTCGTATAGGTGTGGTGCGATTGGACGTGCACGACAATGAAGTGGTGGTCCATTGGTGTCGATGAAATGCTCAACGTCGTTCTTCGGTGTTAATTTCATTGAAGTTATTCTTGTGATACCAGGGTATTCTTCGAGGATCTTGTGATACGGTTGTTGCACATCTATGCTTCTTATTGTGGGCAGATTGGTTGCTTGTACAAAAGACTGAGATGCAAGATTGGTTTTCCCGTCGATGATTCTTCTATTTTTGATGTCGACGACCAACTGGTGATGTTGAAGAAAATCAGCACCGATGATTGGTTTGCTGACTTTAGCGACGATAAATCTCCATTTGAATGGTCGGCGTAGATTAAAATCAAGTTCCATTGTTTTTTTCTCCATATGTAGGAATAACCGTATTGTTTGCTGCATAGAGTTGAAAATCTAGTGGCTTCAACTTCTGTCCTTGCTTCGGCGGTAACACTGAGATATTTGCTCCGGTGTCGATAAGGAAAGTAAGCTTGCTTTTTTTATCGGTGACGAAAAGACGGTAGGACTTTGCTGTTACGCTGGATCCCGTCGCATCGAGCGTACTAGTTAGTTTTCCGTATTCGTATTTTCATTTTTGAATGTACACGGTGCTGTGCATTTTCTTGCCTCGACCCCGAAACGTCGATGATAGTAGCAGTAAGGGGATCTTGATGTTGAGCTTATTCGACTTCTACTTGCAGAGCGGTTGCGACGAAAAGGTGATCTTCGGTGTTGCTGATTGCGCTGGTTGTACTGTTGCTGGTAAAAGGTATGATGCTGGGAAGCTTTGAGCGCGGCGACTTCGAATGATAGCTTCCGAATTTCTTCGAGAAGAAACTGGGTATCATTGGCCTTTGTTGAAGTGCCTTCGATGATCGATATGTGTGAGCTACTGCTGTTTTCGATCATCGTGTCCGCCAGGAGTGCCAGTTCGTCGAGCTTCGTCTGCGTGCTGAATGTTTCGCTGACTGCTATTACCGATCGAATATGTGGTGGTAGGTGGTTTACCCACATTAGCCGTAGTGTTGAATCCGGAACTTTATCTCGCGCCAAAGTACGCATTTTGCGTAGGAGTTGTGTGGGTTTCTGGTCTCCAAGTTCTATTTCTGATAGAAGTTTTTGTAGCTGTCGACTGTCGGATTCTTCGTATGCGGAGATCAGACGATCCTTCAGTGAATTATACTGGTCGACTGCTGGTGGGTTGTACAACAGGTCCGCAATTTGTTCGATGTCTTGTTTCTCAAGTTGGGCTATCACCATCTGTGCTAATTGCGCTTGGCTCTTCTTTAAACCATTCGTTGCGGCTTCAAAACTGACGAACCAAAGTCGTGGTTTGTCTCTCCAAAACGGTGGTATTCTTAACGATAGAGATATACCGGCGATTTCTGGTTCCTTTACCGGGTTTGATGTATATGTGTTTGCCTCCTGCTCCATAATGACGGCTTGATTACACTGATTTTATATAAACTGAAGTCTTCCTTCTCGGTGTTCGTACGGGTTTCCTTCGCGGTGTTCGTGCAATAGTAGTGGTACGTCGCAGGGTGTTCCTTCTTGGTGTTCGTACCGGATCTTCCCCCCTCGGTGTTCGTACGGGGTCACCACTGTAATAGTGGAGACGAACTGTCCACTATTAACAGACTCCGAGTGGTTTTCTTTAAGGAGAAATGAAACTACTGTTTATGTTTATGAATGTACTGTCGAATGGGATTCGGAATGGAATATCTTTTTCATCAACCTTGCCTATATTTATATGGCTGGCTCACTATTGATTTGCCAATGGTAACAATTAATATTTTGCCTAGCCAATTATATTGCTTATTTTATGACCAATGAAAACTATTTAAAATATACAATTATCTACGTTTCGTTTCCCGGCGTGAGACTTGTTTGTTGTTCACGAAGCTACGTCGCTGGACCGGGCTATATAAGACGTGCAGATCGGTGCGCACGCGTAGTCGGCGGGCGGCGGCGGTGTGGAATACAGCTCCGGAACAGCAAGAGGAAACGAACTGCGGCGTTGAAGAAACGGCTCACCATTGGTCGACGGATACGTGACGATAGCGGCGTGTGAAGTCGGTGTGGCGCTGAATGATATTTGCGGCTGCTTCTTGTTTCTTTATAAGAACGTCAAATTATCTATATACAGTCCGCAGTATCTCAGTAGCCAAGAATAATTAGGAAATAAAATTTATTCTCGCCTTCCGCGTTATGGTAGCAGCGGAGTACATATTATTTATTCCCGTTTCGGTTTGATTAATCTGGCTGCTACATATCGATATATTTTAAAAAAATATCGATATTATATATGGTCGGTATTTTTAATCACGATATATCGATACTTAATATTTATTTTAGAGTATCGAACTCCTATCAATTTCAATATATTTTTAAATGTTGTAAATATTAATCGATTAAGCAACAAAAGCATTCATGTGCTGTTGTCGTTTTTTTTTTTTGCGTCGTGCCACAATCCGGTAATAAAATTTGGATCTTATTCTACTACACCATACAAAACATGACGATATATGGATATATTGTTATTATCACGCCATATATATATACATATATCGCGCGATGATTGCGTTCGACGAAAATGATCGTGCGACCGTGCGTTTAAACGTACTCATATCTGCTGAATGTCCTATTGAACGTCGTGCGATCATGCGATGCGACTGAAAAAATCGCGCGTGGGGATTCATCGGACGATGACATCGCATCGCACCATCGTGCGAGCGATAGCAATAGGACAGCGCCTCTATTAAGCAGTGGACTTTAATAGGTTGTAACGGTACCGAAAAGGCTATAACTAGTATGTAGGTAGATGAGGTAGGTATGTACGTAATCTTTGGGTAAGAAATGCGCTATTCTCGTTGTCACCAGAGGCAATGGAAAATCGTAGACATAATTACTTCAGAAACAACACTTAGAGTGGTCCCTACAGCAAACTTACAATAATATTACAATACATAGAGGAACAATAACCCAATTTCATCTCTCTGAAACTCTATTTGCGTCTGTTCTTAATTAAGGTGACTCTAACCCAACCCCGATCACAATGAAAAGACCCTTGTCCTGTAAACATGGAGTATAGAGGTACTACACTCCATACACGTAAAGCTCAATGCTATGGAGTGTAGAAGTAAGGAGCACCAACTCCCATAGTAGAATAGTTGAAAAAGTGATCATCTGTAAGCAGTAAATAACAGTTCAAAAACCCCACACAGCGCTGGAGTAGCTACTGGGATGAAATGAACTTAGCAGCTTGCAGTAGCTTTTATTTAGTAAATATAACCTCGAAAAAGTCGTCCATCCCGATAATATTTTTGGTGCGTTTTTTAAAATTTACCCCGTAGTTATAGTGGCGCCACCCTTATTTAACGGTTTTCTATGGACACTTTTTCATACACAGTCTGTACTTCTTAATTCTACACTCCATACTCAATGCGATCTCGATAATACTTGAATCATGGAGTATAGCTTGAATACTTCAGTATTGGTTAATACATAAAATCGCCATCTAAAGCAATGTGTTTGAACTGTACAAATCAAGTCATGATAAAACGAGAACCTTAATCATTTAGTTTATAGCAATGTTAACAGATGGCAGTATGACAAAATTTTTAAATATTGAAACACGTGACACCTATTGACTCTATGTAGAACTAAAGGAATATTGTCACAGGGCACGTTTATTTATTTCATAAACAGATGTCGTTAAAAGCATATCACAAGGACGTGTCGATTTTTGTTCAGTAGGTACATATAGGTACATATGTTAGTATTTTAATTAATTAAAGTGTAAAGTTTCATGATAAGAAGTGTTGAATTTTTAATTAGTCATCGCAATCCGAATGTTCTCCACCTGTAACCAGTGAATACTCGCATCTCTTACCAGGTGGTCGTTCAATCTAGTTTGGGGGGGTCGCCCTACACTTCGTTTACCAAAACGAGGCTCCCACTCAGTGTTGCCAGATGCCTTGAACCTTTTATCTGTAGTAGAAACAGCTAACATCTGTATTAAATCTGTATGCTATTTAAACTCAAAATCTGTATGAAATCTGTATTTATTACCTTGAGTAGAAGCCTATGGCACTGATATTTTACAAAAAATTAAAATTAAAATTTTGAAATAAATTTAATTGCCATCTTTGACCTTGTCACTTCGCAGGATCACAGGCTAGGAGGGACATTATTTGGATTTCGATAGAATTCATAAATTTATTTATTTAATTCATTTTTTTTTTTGTAAAATATCAGTGCCATAGGCTTCTAGTCTATTCACACGTCACATCCAATTTTTTCCAGACGGTAAAAAGATTATCCAGTATACATATTTTATCAATATCAATGTATTTTATAATATGCTTGTAATGCTCCCATACTATATAATTACGTTGTGAAAAAAAAATAACCATAAAGAATAGAATCATGCAATGATGTGTTTAACGCGGTATCTAGTCATATATTTTGCTTCGTTCTGTTTTAAATTGTATATTATGATAATTCAATCAACAGAGTTAAAAACTCTGTATAAAAATCTGTATCCAGTGTTAATCTGTATCACACACCGAAAATCTGTATAAATACGGAGAAATCTGTATATATGGCAACACTGCTCCCACTCGAGAACCCACAGAGTACATTGTATATATAAAGAATGTATGTTATTTTTCTAATCTTTCCTCAAAATTTGGTTTTATTAATTTTATAAATAAAACAACATTCAGTAAATCATTTGTTTTTCTATACTGCTTCACTAGTTTTTTTCGCTTTCGTTTGAAATTTATCATTGACATCGTAAATTTTTGATCTACCTGACATTACTTTATTTATATTTTTACAATAATTAAAATATAGTCAATATTTTTTTGTTTGTGTTCTGTGCAGTGGGAGAACGATTCAAAATCTACTATAGCGAATAAAATTGTTTTTATGTATTCTTTAGATTATCTTAATATTTTTTGATATATTCATGGATTACATGTTTCAGATCTGTCAATAACAGATTTAAATCGCTGCTGGGATAGCAAAATCAACGTCGACCGGCATACTCACGGAATTTAATAAATTCGCTCTCACGTTCTGGGGTACTAGTAAGTTTACTTGAGCGTATATTGCACCCCTTAAAAATTTTACTTTTTAATTTAAAAAAAATAACCATTTACATATTAAAGGGGTGCAATAATGGTTGGATCTTCTTTTAATTCCTCCATGGAGAGCAATTTCATATTTATGTATTCCGAGAAGTCATAGGTTTCGGTCGACATAGCTTCAGTATTTTCTGTGATTAATAACGAGTGTAGTGCATCACAAAAGTCCTCTTCACAATTTTTTCCCTGAATGTGGCCACTGTTCAAATTATTGACAAGAAGGGTTTTGCAAAAGCGTTTTGAAATTTCTCGCCGTCGGGTAATTATTGCGGCACCCATGACTGCGAATTGCGCTGAAATAATCATGCTGAATATTGTATTCCTACTTAAGAGGATTGTGAAGCTGTAAATTTTCATACAAAAAGCGATAACGTTTTCCCACCAGTAAACATAGTCTAATTTTCATAATTTTTGGAAATGTTGTAAATATAACAAAAAACTAGGTCCGTACGTTTTAATTTTAAAGAAATATTACGTACAATATAACTTATCAGCATCTAAATATCTATATTTTGACTTAAAAACTTACTGGAGCGTTTTTATTATTCTTAATTAAACTAAACTGATTTACTAAAAAAGAAAAACGTACAGACCTAGACTGAAGTACATATATTGAATCTAATGAGACCAAAATTATCTCATTTTGTAAAGGTTTAGGAAGGTAAAAATGTTATCGCCCGAAACAATATTTCAATAAAGAAATGTAGGCAATTGCTTCCAAGACTTGCAACTCTCTCTATCGCACGATACGGGTCGGGAGGCAGGAGCACACGCACACTGCTGTAGTTGTGGTTTTTTGTTATTAAGCCCGGTTTACACTTTGTTAACACTGCAGATGATTAGTGCAGGTGTTTAGTAATCAAGGTGTGAACGGAAGCGTGAAGTGATTAGTGTTAAGTGTTAAGTGCGATTAGTGCTTATTGATTAGTGCGAGTGAATAGAATCAAGGTCTATTTTTGCTGTTAAGTGACCTCCCCCCTTGTACTGTTCCACTCCCCTCTCTCGCAGTTCGCCTGTACTAATCAGTGTGTAAACATGTGTGTGTTAAGTGCGCAGTGTCAAGTTCAAAGCGAAAATGAAGTGGACGGAACAACATACTTTAAAATTCGTACAAGAATACATAAAGTATGAATGTCTATACAATGTAAAGTGCGCAGAATTTAAAAACAAACAGTTGAGAGATGCGGCCCTATTGAAACTGAGTGAAGCGATGGAAATTCCCGACTTCGGTCCCAAAGAAGCGTACAACAAAATACGAAGCTTGAAATCGACCTTCTCCCAAGAGCACAAAAAAGTAAAAGATTCTATTAAATCGGGTGCAGGGCTTGATGATATATATGTGCCAAATATCAAATGGTACAAAGTGATGGATGATGCCCTAAAGGCAGTAAATGTTGGAGAATGCAGAGAAACGTCGAGTAATATGGTGAGTATTCCATAGGTACTATGTTTTTTTCCACCGCACTACGGGTAGGCAAAGAAAGCTTAGAATTTATAGTAACTTCAATAGGCAGGGGCCGACCGATAGCGAGAGAGTGAAAGAAAACATAAAATTATTTAGAATACATTTATTTATAGTATCTTATATGCTAACTTACTAGGTAGGAAATTGTACTGAAACCGATTGCTATTAATGTACCATTCTTTCCTGCCAGGGTACTGAGCCTTCACCAACAAAATAATCTGCATAGCTATCTCGTACATTGTGAGCTTGTTGTGATGATCTATTTTGCAAACTTCTTTCAATGTTTACTATACCTGTTGTTAGAAACTCTCTCCAGGAACCAGGTGTGATGTTCCCCGTTTCGATGTTTTCTGTATCAACTGTTACACTTTGAATAGTACCTTGCGTTTTTCTAAGCCAATTGTGCAAAGCAACACACGTTCTATTTTATCAGCTTTAGCGGTAGCATATGAGAGGGGTTTCAGAAACATTCTAAATTTACACACTAATATTCCGAAGGCATTTTTAACTATCCGTCTGGCCCGTGATAATCTGTAGTTGAACACTTTTTGCTTAAGAGATAAATTATTTCCTCCGTATGGTTTCATAAGGTACGTTTTCAATGGGAAAGCATTATCTGCAACAATCGCACTGTTTGGTGGTAGAAAATTATTCTCTAGAGCGTGGCTCAAACTGGAGTTTCGGAAAACTCCTCCATCACTGATTCGTGCATTGCATCCAATGTCAAAATAAATAAAACAATAATCATGGTCTACTAATGCCATAAGAACGATGCTATGCTGGTTCTTGTAATTGTAATAATAACTTCCAGAATCATCTGGTGCATTCAGCAAGATGTGATTACCGTCTAATGCACCACAGCAAACGGGAAAGTTCCATTTTTGACTGAATCCTTCTTCAATACTTTCCATTCTTCTGTACTTCTGGGAATCTGCAACAAATAATAAATATCTTTATTAATGCCATGTTATGTATTTACAGAACCTGGAGTCTCAGATAAAATCAATGAAGATAATGTTGAGACAAGAGACACTGAAGGCGAGAAGGCTGTTGAAAATACTTCAGGAGTTGGAACCTCAAGCAATGACTCGGGGCAGTCATTCAAAGGCAAAAATCCTCGGAAAAGGACGATGCTACGAGACTATGATAACTTACTGACAAAGACCCAAAATGTAGCCAACAGTGTCAACAGCTCTGTTGTATCAGAGAATGAATGAAGCAGCCAACTTAAATATCCTTCCTCTCTCTGAAACTCATTTTTTCCCTAACTGTATCCCATCCCTCCTTGATTTGGTTATCGTTTCTTCTCTTGACCATGTTGATAGTTTTGGTCAATGTGCTGCCAATGCTTTTTCGTATCATGATCTCCTGTTTCTATCTTATAAAATAAGACCACCCAAAGCCAAATCAAGGATACTTCTGCAGCGTAATTTTGAGAAAATGGATTTGGATAAGCTTCAAAAAGACGCTGCTAATATGGACTGGAGCGTTATAATGAAGGCTTGTGATGTTGACGAACAGGTAGCATTGTTTAATTCACTTCTTGTTCAACTTTATGATGCTCATGCTCCTGTCCGCCCAGTGCGAATACGTCATCCTCCAGCTCCGTGGTTGACCGAAGATCTTAAAAGATTAATCTGCAGGAAGAATAGTGCAAAGTCGAGTTACAAGTCAGATCCTAAGAATGACAGGATTCGGGAGAAGTACAGACTCCTACGAAATCAATGCAACAAGATGTGTAGAGATTTACGACGCCGCCACATCCATAAATCAGTACAAAACGAAGATCCATGTCGTATTTGGAACTTCTTAAGGTCTATTGGAGTTGGGAAAACTCGTTCATGTCCTATTCCAAATAACGTGGATTTAAATTTGCTTAATCAGCATTTTTCTTCCGTTTCTTGCCTGAACAATATGGCAAAATCAGCAACACTTACTCAACTTTCATCGTTTCCCACTCCTGACTTTTCTCCATTTGTGTTTAGGCAATTTGCAGATTGTGATGTTAGGAAACACATACTCTCTATCCATTCCGACGCTGTCGGAAGTGACGACGTCAGTCGTAAAATGATCATTCCCCTGTTGGACTTTTTAACACCTATTATAACCCATATCTTAAACTTTTCCATATCCTCATCTTCTTTCCCTTCCCAATGGAAGGACGCTCAAATCATACCTTTACCTAAGAAAACAAATCCTTCAAGTTTTTCTGAATATCGTCCTATTTCAATTCTTCCTTTCCTTTCCAAAGTTTTAGAACGCCTTGTCCAACAACAAATTAATTCCTTTTGTTTAAGAAATAGCATCCTTAGTCCTCTCCAATCTGGCTTTAGATCTGGTCATAGTACGACTACGGCGTTATTAAAAATCACCGACGACATTCGTCACGGTATGGAGAATCATCAAGTCACAGTATTGGTGTTGCTGGATTTCAGCAATGCCTTCAATACTGTTGATCATGATATCCTGTTAGGGATTCTGCGTTCTCTTAACATATCTCCAACTGCAATTTCCTGGTTTCATAGTTATTTGCACGGGCGCCGGCAACGTATTCGTGTCCAAGATAGACTTTCTTCGTGGCTTGATACCGTAGCTGGCGTTCCACAAGGTGGTGTCTTATCTCCTCTTTTATTCGCAATCTTTATTAATACGATTACATCCCAAATATCTTCTCTCTACCACTTGTATGCAGATGACCTTCAAATATATTTACAAACAACCATCGAAGATCTTGCCAAAGCTGTTGAATGTATCAACAAGGATCTGGCTTTTATTCTCGACTGGACACGATCTTATGGGTTGACGGTTAACCCTTCAAAATCGCAAGCTATAATTATTGGGAGTTCAAGAACTATTTCCAAAATTAAAAAATGTCAAATTCAACCCGTTGTATTTAATGGTATTCTTATTCCATATAATGAAGTAGTTAAAAATTTAGGTATCTTTTTGGATTCCAGTCTGTCTTGGACACCCCAAATTAATGCAGTGAGCCGAAAAATGTTTGCGGCTTATGCTTCACTCCGAAGGCTTAACTACTTTTTACCCATTTCCACCAAAATTACGCTTGCACAATCTTTGCTACTCCCTATCCTCGACTATGCTGACATTTGTTACCTTGATATCACCGAGGAGCAACTTAATAAACTTGAGCGACTCCAAAATCTCTGTATACGGTTCATATTTGGGCTTCGTAAATATGACCATGTCTCTGAATACCGCACTAAACTCAAGTGGCTCCCAATCCGTCTTCGTCGGAATACTCATATACTTTCTGCGCTCTACTGTGTCTTATTTAATGTATCAAGTCCTCCCTATCTGAAAGAACGTTTTAAATTTCTTAGCTCTTGTCACGATTTTTTCCTTACGGTCCAAAGAAAACCTTTCGCTCCAATGTCCTATACACTCCTCGACATTTTATGATAAATCTTTTGCTGTTCTTGGAGTAAGACTCTGGAACTCCTTACCCCAGTCCATTAAAAGTGCTCAGTCTTTAAATGTGTTCAAGAAACAAATTAAGGAACACTATTTGTCACTTTAACTCCTCTCTCTTTCTCCTCTTAGTTATGGTCACTAATATACCTTAAGTATGTTGTCATTATATAGTATATAAGTTATATTTTTTTTTTGTCTAATTTAGTGCACCCTACCCATTATTTTTATTTTTATTTATTTCCTCTTCTGGGTTGTCTGGAAGAGATTGCTATGTAGCAATAAGACCGCCTTTTGTTTATCCCTCATTATTCTTTTTATTATTTATTAATGTTTTGTTGGTGTACAATAAAGAGTATTGTATTGTATTGTATTGTATTGAATTCGACATATTTGGACGAATGGTTGCAGTTCAATTGAAAAATTTACCAATGGAGTCAACAATTGAAGCACAACAGTATATTCAAAATTATCTTTCTGGTTTGCGCTTGAAATATATCCGCCGTCAGTCTCAAACATCCAATTTCATTTATGAAATGGTAGAAAACAGAACACAACCACATTTTATGTCGTCTCCTCCAACTTCAACCATTTCTAGAAATTCTTATTATTCGAGCAACGATGATACATACAATGAAAATGCCACATTGAGTTATGGAAATCTTGAAAATACAAATACAACTGTTGTGACAAATCAGTCAAATTCTGAAAATGCATTTACTTCTGTTGTTGATAGAAATGATGTGTTAACCCAAGCTTGGGAATCTGCATAAGGAATTTACAGCATTCCAATACAATTTTATGTTTGTAATTTTATATCTAAATAATAAATTTTGTAACTAAAATATAAAATCGATATAAAATATTTGTTAATGTGTTTTACTAACCTTTATATAATATTTTAAGGCGTTGTATACAGCATCACAGACTATCGGTATCATTAAACTTATTGCTGGTTTAGATACTCTGAATAAATGTGACAAAGTACGCAGACTACAACCAGTGGCAAGAAAATACAACACTATCTGAAGTTTTATTTTTGGCGTGAGTGCACTCCTCACAAAAGTATCTGTTTTTTTTTATGGCGGGCTCAACGTGCGTCAGCAATTCTTCAAATTGCGTTTCTGTCATTCGCATTGATCTGTAAAATTCAGCAGGATCTTCCTTAGCAATTTTTTCAATAAGTTTATTGCTGGCTCCATACTGAGAACGTCTGGTAATCCATTTTCTTTGCCATAATCTCTTAGGCTTATTGATTTCAAAATTGAGTTCATTTTCTATATCAGATACCACAATCTCCTTAATTATTTTTCTCAATATTAAGCGCTGTTCATCTTCCATTTCTAAAGACACTATGCACAACGGACAGTACCACTGCTTTGAGCTTCTTCCTATACATTGTGTAAACGGAGATGGAAAAGACTACTTAACACTTGAGACTTATCGGTAAAGTTAACGCTCAACACTTCACACTTCGCAAGTGTAAACCGGTCTTTAGATGTCTGAGATTTTATCTATATACATATATATATATATATATATATATATATATATATATATATATATATAGATTTGACGGCTACAGGCGCAGTAGCTCAGCAATGAGTTATAGCGCTGAGGGCCGCGGGTTCGAATCCCGCACGGCACAATTATTTGTATGGCCTACAAGTAATTGTTCCGGGTCTGAATGGTTGTCCTTGTGCAATTTATGTATATAAAAACTGCCTCCACGATACAGGAGAAAGTCCTGGTGTGGGGGTAACTTAAAAAATAATAATTAAAAAAGATATTATTATAGCCTAGGGGGAAAAAAGTAATATCGAAAACCTATACAAATAATACTTCTTATGAAAAAATAATATCTGTAAATAACTTCATTAGCTATTTAGTCTTTTTATGTTAGTCTTTATTGAATTAGGACTGTAATTTAAAAAGATTTCGAGATTACACTTAATTAGGTAGGTGAATAAATAAAAAAGTAACAACTCGTGAAAATTATTTTTTTATTACTACATATTACTTTATTACACTCTTTCTCGAGCTGCCATATTTCTAGGTACTTGAGGATCAATCAGCTTTGGTAATAAACACTGAATATAAAATGAGTTACTTTTTGGCTGCATTTTTTCTGTCCAAAAGTGGTCATCGTACTTAATTTTTTCATACGCTAAAACATGTAGCGTCCATACTATGAAAAAACAAAATTGCCTACCAGTGTAATTATATGTAAATATATGTAATTTTCCCTGGACCTGATAATAGTAATCATGACTTCTTTTTAAAATCACCTGTCCTCATATCAAACAAAATTTGATCTTTTTTCAGTTATGGCCTCCACAGGTGGCATATTAGAAGCAGAAATAGGACATTTGACTTCAATTAGAGAGTCATCTCCGATAAGTCCATCGGGACTTACCCTTAAATAATAATCGTCTTAATCAATAAACAGTCCACACACCAAAACCTTTAGATTGCCAGTTGTGGAAAATTCTCGTATGGCCTCCGATTCATGTTGATTTCCATATTCGGTTGCCGTAGTTCCTTTGAAATGAGTATACAGTAAGGGCGCAGTTTGCGATTTTTCCAAATTTATATGCACATAGCCTTTTTCTCCATTCAGTGTATCACAAATCATTGTCTCTTTGACCACTAGTAGCCAATTCTAATTCTTTTATTTTGTCCTCGTTTTTTGCAAAGAAGCCAAAAACTCTTCTTTCTTTTCTTAAAAACATGATTGGCACTGATTTTTATGTAATTTTTGATGTTTTTAATTTTTTCCACGTCAGTGATGTCTTCGTTCTTCCAATGTTTCACGGCGCCAACTACTGCTTTTTTTATATAGAATAGGATGACAAACGAGCACACAGCCCACCTGATGGTAAGTGGTTGCTGTGGCCCATAGACATCTACATCTATCCTCGATTACAAATCAAAATGCAGATGCGTTGTCATCCGTGAGGACTTAGGTGGAATGCCTCGTTTTCAGTAAATGGGGTATCCGGTTCCCTACACTCACCATACAAAACACAGCAGCATTAAGCTACTATTTGACGCCGGTATTCTGTGAGAGCGTAGTCCTTCCCTGGTCTGGCCGACCCATTCGTGCTACAACGTTACTACTAATATAACTGCAGCATGGCTCTACCACACAGATTACCTCCTAATAGATTCCGCATACAGGGCCACAAACGCGCGCAACACATACTTGCTGTAGCTAGCATATGAAGTGACGCTAAGAATCACGATATCATTGTCGTCCAAGGTTGTGACCCGTAGGCACCTCCGAGTTTTTGAAAATTTAAAAATAATTTTGGTATCCAAAATACATTACAAATGGCTTCATATGTAGTGAAATGGTGTGGCAAGTCAGCTAAGACATCCAGTTATCAAAAAGATGGCATAATATTTCATCGGTAAGTAAATTTTATTCTTATCACGTTAACCTATTTCAAATACACCGGAGTTCAACTTACACTGGATATTAAATGTTGCAAAGTGATATCATTTGAGCACCCGTTGATGTCTTTTTTAATATGTCCCTTTCACTCATTACGTAAATTAAAATAGTTGTCTTTGTCTAACGACAGCACGTGTACCGATAGTGTTGTGATTTATAAGTCGATATTTGTTTGGTCATCGTTTACTTTTCTTTTGTAGTCATTATTTTATACAAATAGTGGCGTATAATTGTGGTACCTATATGTTATAGGTTTCCTAAATGTCTCGAAAGGAAAAGATGTGGATCGACGCTACATGTCGAGGGGACCAACGGTTTCCCACCAAAAATAGTGTGCTATGCTCAAGACATTTCACAGAAGACAATCTTCATATTATGAAAAACCGTAGAGGGCTGTTGGATTCCTCTACACCAACTCTATACTTGCCAGTTTTAGTATGGACTTTTACATTTTTTAAAAAGTATAATTAAAAGTATAAATGGTGAAAATTACACAACAAGTTAAGTGGTTGATTGAACCGTGAGATTCTAATATTTATGCGAATGTTACGAAATTAATCTATTTTTAACGGATTTATAAACAATAAATCAAGTGATAGTTATAAAGTGATTAATGTTATTCTAGTGTTACATGAACGTTAGTAATATCCTATTATTATTACTATTATTATTAAGTACGTCTAAATTTGTAGCACGTACCGTAAGGTTTTTAATTAATAATACTACTTTTAGGTGCAACACTAGGCAAAAATACTGTCACCACCGAAAGGACATACCAGAATACACACAAAGGATTCACACCATTTTGTTAGTGAGATAAAAGACCTACATCACTGACAATAAAACTATGGTCAGTTTTGGTGTTCAATCACTATTCACATGCCTACGTATTGAAGACTGCTTCTCAATTGTAACTAGGAAGCTACAAGATAACAACATGCCTGCAGAATATGCAGTATTACTCAAACACTGCTTCACATCTGAATATCTGCTGTAAAAGGAAGAGTTCTACAAGCAAGTTGATGGTGTAGCGATGGGCTCACCTGTATTTCCTATAGTCGCCGACTTATATCATGGAGGATTTTGAGATGAAACCCTTCTTACTGCTCCTATAAATCCAAGATTCTACAAACGGTACGTAGACGACACTTTCAAAATTTTACCGTCTGACAAAGCAACTGCAATTTTAGACCACCTTAACTCCATAAGCTTCAAAATACAAATCACGATGGAGTTAGAAGCAAATAATACTTTAGGTTTCCTAGATGTTTTAGTAATCCGAAATCCTGATAACACTATTGGTCATACTATGTATAGGAAAAAGGCCTATACCAACCGATATTTAAATGGTGAATCTCACCATCATTCTTCATAGTTTGCTACTGTGGGTAAATATTTGTTTCAGAGAGCACAAAGGATCTGTGACAGAATACATCTGGCTGCCGAGCTTCAGCATGTCAATCAAGTACTGCAAGACAACAAGTTTTGGGTCCCAAGCCTACGTCACAGCAACCGAGTGAAGCCGGCCACAGTCGGTGGATGGATGCTGCCATCTGCTTGGGATCCTATAATTAACAAAATCTATCCAAAACCAAGCATACCACTGCAAGACTTCAAGATACTGTAAGCTCGTTTTATTTAGATCGGGACCAAAAATCAATATACTAAAAGTGAAGATAGCCGAGCTAACTATGATATTGAGATGTCAAATATTTAAGTTCCCCCTCCCCGTGACCATAAATTAATTAAACACTAAAATCCATATAATTATATAGTTTTATTCAATGTGTAGTGTTCGCGTAAATTTAAGAAATCGTTAGATTACATGTATATATATATATATATATATATTCTTTTATGTATATACACTGTTTTATTTTTTAATAAATTTCAAATAAAAATTGATCAATTCATTTATTTATCAATAATCAATAAATCCCAAATTTATCGATCAACATCCCAACCTTGTCCCATCACTATGGTTCGGAGCATTCTAAGTTCAACCTTGAATCATCCAATCACAGCTCATTTGATACGTCCCCCGCAACCCGAAATTTGGTGAAATCGAAACAGAACAAATATTCCATGATGCGGTATCTATTAGGAGGTAATCTGTGCTCTACCACGTAAAAGCGACGCAAAACATTGTTCACAACTCTTTTTCTTGTAGGTACTGTAACCTTATTGGTAACATAAGTAAAAATAAGTAACCTTATTGGTTGTTAGTTTTCTGCCCCAACTGCTTCAATTTGGAACAAAAATTTCTGAAAAAATTATTTTTGCATTCTACTTTTTTAACCATGAGGTTAGAACCGTATGGCATAGTAATCAATAGTCCATTTATGATACCAGAGTCACCATCGCCAATCAGCGTGTCATATTTAACGCCATGTTTTTCAACGCTTTTTTTGGAAACCTTCCACTAATATGCCATCTTCCATCGATGTAGTGCTGTTAGACCTCTAATATCCTTTTGACGAATATTAATAGTACATCGTCCCTTCATATTACTGTCCGGTAATTCCTTGTCAAGCTCAGAGTCACTGAAAAATAAATAGAATGATAATAGTTAAAAATATTTTTTATGGCTAACTAACGCGGGCAAAAGCTAGTTCACCTTTAATTCGGTTCATTGTTAAAATTTAGATTAGTAAATTAGTAATTAGAATTAGTAATACGAACAACATTTTCTAACGGACTAATATTATTACTAAACAAGTTGTAAAATTGAAAATTTTGTACAACCGACTTCAATAAAACTCAATTACGACATTATGTCATGGTTGAAATGATTTCTATGACATTTATATTGGGCCAAATGTGAGACATACATTATCGAAAAAAAAATTAATAGGTATTCAAAATCGGTCCACGATGGAGAAAT